GGATGGTCTCCATCTCCTGACCTTGTGATCAGCCTGCATCGGCCTCTCAAAGTGCTGGGATTACAGGCGTGAGCCACCGCACCTGGCCCATCCTTTGATTTTTAACAAGGGAAGGTTGTTTTCCAAGACTTCAAATAGATCATGTGAGTGTCAGGGCTACTATATTGACTCAGAAGGTGGACCAGATCCTCTGGAGATGGAGTGGTGAGAGGGCCTGCACCGGCAGGTGAAGGCCTTAGGTCCATAGGTGACATTCATTCACCAGGTGTGGTGTTTTAGGGTCCTGATGTTGATGACAAAAGTTATGTGTATATTACTAAAAGTAAATTGTAGAACATAACAAATAATCATATATAAACCAAAAGTGTCGACAACTACAATTATTATGATGCATCATTATTCTAAGTATTTTTACCACAATTAGCAGTAGTAGCCGTTGTTGCTGCTGCCACTGCTGTTGTAGGAACGGTGATGAAAACGTGGAATAAAGCTCTGCTGCCTCATCATGCTGCTGCTCCTGCGGCTGCAGATTTGCTGGGTCTGTGCAGACTTTGGACCTCTGTTGTGAAGCTGTAACTTAAGAGACTTTCAGTGCTCTGCTGCGGCAGGAAAAACGTTTGAGTCAAGACAGAACAACAATTCTGTGCATTTGAAGGTGGAGGCTAGGATGGGTCTGGGGTGCTGTTGAAGGGGAAGAAGCACACATCACTGAATGAAGGGGTGGAAGCCTCTGGCGAATGGCAGGGGTTGGCCGTGAAGCAAATCAGATGTGGATTTTAGGACTGGTTACTCAGTGAAACTTACACACCTGCAAAGCGGGAAATGGAGGACAAATAACAGGTGATGTGTCCAGCAGCAGACAGGAGGGTCTTCTAAGAGCACACCTGCTCCTTCCCCTAGAACTTCTTCCTACAGCTCCAGCAGACATTCTCGTGTAGAAAACCACCATGTGATTTCACCACGTTCTGACTGGTACAGTATCCTTTTCTCCATTCTCTTATCTTCCCCTTCCTCATTCCATTATTGCACATAAAGCATCTGGGGTAGGCACACAAGCATATTGCTGTTTTTGTGTGCTTGTTTGTACGAAATGACACGTGTTGATCAGCAGCCAGATGAGATGGGGCAGAAAAATACTGGCCCTGTGAAGACTGTTTCTCTACCAGTGGCTACTCACTCGGCTCTTATCTCTGTATTTCAGGACTTTAACAACAATAACAAAAAAAATATAATACCCTTGCATAGATTGTTTGATTGGTGAATTTTAATGTTTTTAATATAGCATTGTAAAACCAAAAACAATTTCATAACTCTTTTATCTACATAGTTGCTACACATAGGGCGAATCTGTTCATACACAGGACTAAATGACATTTGAAAGAAAAGAATGAACCTCAAATACTTTTCCCTTCAAATCCAGTGTCTGATTGTCTAAATATACATTTTGCATATAATGAAAAAAATACGTAAAAATTAAAATGTACGGTTTATCTCACCATCCAGTATATCAGTTGGACCACAAGTGAAGAAAAAGAGGCATCTGTCTGCAGGAAGTTCTAAATTCTCCTGGGAGCCCCAGAACCGCTTGCGCCTCCCAAGCGGACCCCGTCCTTGGCCTGTTGCCACTGGCAGGGCATCGTGGTGAGGTTTCCATATCTTGGCCCAGGAGGCACAGGGAGGGTAGGAGGTTGTCTGTCTCACAGCCAGGCCAACATCCCTGACCAGGGCCCTCTGGAAGAAGATTCCCAAGGTCCCTGTCAGCTTTCAGAAGGGTTATGCCATTCTAGAGAAATTATAAATGTTCTTGGGGGTTGACCCATCGGTGAGCTGGGCATCCCTGTGCTCTTGGTAGCTGGAGCAGGCAGGAGCCCCACCCTCCTGGGCGCAGCCGCCACAGCTGCAGACCCAGGCATCTCTGAACTCTGGAGGGCCCAGGGAGGTCCCCCTCACCCCCACAGGCTCAGAAGTGCTGCTCCCACTGTCTGGCTTCTCCTCACTGCTGGCATCCACTCCAATCACAGAGAAAAGGGGAGTCTGGGCCCATGCACCTATCAACCCACCACCTAGGTATTAAGCCCAGCATGCATTAGCCATCTCCTCTTTGACTTTTAACGTGAAATTCTTATAATCATTTTATGTTATCAATGACCAGTCATAGGTTTTAAAATGCTGGCTGTTACTTGCATGTAATAACAATGACATTTTTATTAATAAAACAAAACACGGGATACTTTTATCATAAAGATTATATTCTTAAATGGTCACAATGATCACTGTACAGTCATTTATAAAATGACACCATCTATCACAAATAACAGTAAAAATTATATATTGTAATAGAGTTGAGGAGAGAGTTCTCAGCAAACTTTTTTTTTCAAAGAACACATTAGTTGCATGTAAAAGTTGCATGTAAAATTGCTTCTGGATTTGTGTAAATGGCTTTTTCATTCTAGTACGCTCCTCTTTTCTTCAGATGTGTCGATTAAGCTCACAGATTTTATCATCAGTCTTTTGTGTCTTGTTCATTTAATGGTAAATGTTTTCCATCATTATTCATAATTACGTAAATACCTGGGACTTACAATACTTCGAATAGTCTGAGGTGAAAGCCAACGTGAGGATGAACTTGATCTGCATTATCTGTTTCCTGAGAGGGCTTGGGAGCTTCACCCTCAGCCCCAGCCACCCATGGCTGTCACTTCCCATAGGGAGGGCTGAGATGTGCATTAAATTGATCAGTTTTCAACGTATCATGTAAGACCCAATAGTCCTTTGCACTGTGATCCACCTAGAGATACGCTCTCTGCTTATGTTCTTCTATATTGTTTCTCCCAGGTCAGTACCATATTATTGCAAATCCTGGGATTCGTAGTGAAGTTGCCAGATTCATCAAGTAAAAAATAGGACAGAAAATGAACTTTAAAATTTAAATAAATGACAAATGACTTTTGGGTGCACACACATGTCTTTGACAATGATCAGCAGTTAGATTCTGAGAGATAAATTTCCAAAAGAAATAATGAAAATAAATACACTTTAGCTGTCAATTCTAATCCACAGTATTGTGATCCTTTCTTGTGTAGTCTCAACACCAATGACCTCAAGAGACTTGTTGGAGGGACTCCATCTGGTGATTCAGCAGATAAAGTATTTTTCAGCATGTGATGGTTACTTGTAGAGAGAAGGGTGTGAAATACATGGGGTGAGCTAAATATATCTTAGGGTAAGAGAATAAAACATCAGATTTCCTATTTTATCTCTTTTTGTTATATGGCTTACATGTGTTTTATTAACGAAATTATGTGGACATGTAGTTTATAAATAATTGCACATATATTAATAGTCCAAGTCCAAGTATTCTTTTACTGGAGCTATACTCCTCCAAAGAGAGACCATTAAGCCTTTAAATCGATGATATCCTGGCTCTTTTCCTGGTTTTATCATGACAGCAAAACCAAGCTGTGCTGAGGGTAAAGGTGCATGTTCATGGAACTGTCCGTTGTTTGGTTCTGGAAGTGTGTTCCTTTACTAAGATTTTGAAGAATTATTAACAATCATTTCAACATATGAGGTTGAAATGATTCGCTCATACATATGAGGTTGTTTTAGAGAATTTTTCTACCTTAACCATTAATTTCTGAGTAAGAGGCGAAAATACTAATTGTCACCATTTCTGCATTGAGATATCTACATCTATCTAATCTATCATCTATTGCTCCATATATACATGGGATGGTACTGTGATAAGTGACCTTTAAAATATAATTTTGACAGCTGTCATCTCAGAAAAAAACTGAGTGGTGTGGAATGGTTTTCTAATTTTTTGTGTCATTAAGTTGACTTGTTCTAATCACTAGATTAATTTGATAAAACAATTATGCCTGCATCTTGGCCAATAACGTTAGAGAGTAATTTCAAAATTGCTCAGTGAAATTATGCCAGGTGTTCTGATATTATGGGTATCCTAACAAAACTAGAGGGAAATTACCTTCATTATTGGAGAAATAAGTGTTTTCAAAGCAAAAGAGGGGATCTCTCTATTAAGTGGAATCTCAAGAAAAGGATCAACATTTGATCATTTTGATGCAACTTTATGGTTGTCATAAAGTGATTACAACTAGTGTTATTCTCTTGACAATTCACAGCTGGACATTGGGGATCCTCTGTTGAGACATAGATAATTTATTTTTGAGATGGAAACTAAACTGTAAGAGAGCCAGAGCCATTTTTATGTGATACAGCTAATAGGGTTTGGTAAGCACAGTAATGCCCTCCAAAGGTGTCCATGTTTTAATTCTCAGATACAGCAAATATACACTTCATGGCAATGGGTATGAGAAGCTGCACATGGGATCAAAATTGCTAATTTATTGGTGAAAAATAAGGATACTATCCTGAATTACTATGGTAGGTTCAAACGTCTAATCACAAAGGTTCAAAATGGGAGAGACAAAGAATTAAAAGCATTGAAAGGTCAGCATGTCAGAAAGACAACTAGATATTATTTTTTCAATTGTTTTGGTGATTCTTTTCCTATTAGCATAAATTTTATTCAGTTGCACTGTGCACATATGATTGCGTCTTTTTTTAATTTGTAGCATCAACGTGATAAATATAAAATGAGAATGCAGAACAAAGATACAATTTCTAGGCCGGGCGCGGTGGCTCATGCCTGTAATCCCAGCATTTTGGGAGGCCAGGACGGGCGGATCACAAGGTCAGGAGATTAAGACCATCCTGGCTAACACGGTGAAACCCTGTTTCTACTAAAAACTACAAAAAAAAAACTAGCCGGGCAAGGTGGCGGGCGCCTATAGTCCCAGCTACTATAGCGCCTATAGTCCAGCTACTCCTGGCTGAGGCAGGAGAATGGCATAAACCCGCGAGGTGGAGCTTGCAGTGAGCTGAGATCCGGCCACTGCACTCCAGCCTGGGCGACAGAGTGAGACTCCGTCTCAAAAAAAAAAAAAGATACAATTTCTAAAGAGGGATGCCCAGGTACCATGGGTAACTACACCCAGGAATAGATAGATAGATAGTATGCATCTTATAAGAAATGTGTTGGTATTTCACATACTAATTGGTGTAGAAAATAATGCAGAGGCTGGATTATCAATAATTTATATGCGATAGGGCTTATCAAGATTAAGAGGGTAAAACAATAAAAGTGATTTGTGATAATTTTCACTAATGCAGAATTAACAATGATGATGTGAGATCTTTTGGGATTTTTCTGATGTACAAAGCCAATTTCTGGCCAGGTGAAGTAGCTCACACCTGTAATTCTAGGGCTTTGGGGGACCCAGGTAGGAGAATCTCTTTAGGCCAAGAGCTCAAGACAAGCCTGGCAGCACAGCGAGACTCCAACACCACTACAATTAGCTTCACCTGGAATCCTAGCTGTTTGGGAGATGAAGGCAGGCGGCCACTTGAGCCCAGGGGGCCCAGAATGCAATGAGTTATTATTGTACCACTGCACTTCAGCCAGGGTGACAGACCAAGACCCTGTCTTGAAAAAAAAAAAAAAGTAAAACATGAAAAATACATAAAGTTCATTATTAAGAACACGTTATTTTCAAGCTGACGTTGCAGTCCCAGTCAACACCTTTCTCCTTTTCTTCTTCATCTTCACACTCCTGGATCACAAGCCAAAGCACACAGACCTGATCACCTGTCACTTGACTTTTGTTCACTCAATGACGCACCCCACTGTAGTGGATTTTTTTCTCTTTAGACAGTGTTTGAGTCACTGAATTTTTGGGAGGACCTCAAATGTCAAACACTATTCTACATGAACAAGGTGATGAGGGGTCTGGCCGTCACCACCACCTGCCTCCTGAGCATGCTCCAGGCCATCACCGTCAGCCCTAGCATCTTGTGGTAGGTGAGACTTAAACAAAAACATAAATTATCTTCCAGTAGTAGCATGATCATCTGCACTGTAGCTTGTTTCAGTGTGACCCAGACCAATTCAATTTACCGAGTGTCAGTGACTTCTGCTCACTTTCTCCAATGAGTTCCATTCTCAGGGGACTGTTTTTTATTCTAATATTGTTTCAGAATATTTTCTTTGTAGGAATCATGCTGCTCTCCAGTATGTACGTGGTCATTCTCTTGTTCAGGCATGAGAGGTGATACCGGAGCCTTTGCAACACCAGTCGTTCCCCAAGAGCCTCCCCAGAGAAAAGGGCCATGCAGACCAGCCTGTGTCTTCTGGTGAGTTGCTCTGTGGTCATGTACTCAGTGGACATTATTACTTCATCCTCCTTAAGCACGTGATGGGTTCCTGGCCCAGTCATCCGGGATGTCCAGATGCCTGTGGTCACTCTCTGTGCCACTGTCTGTCTTTTGGTACAAATCAGTCCTGACGGAAGGATCATCGATATTCTAAAAAATATTTCTATCAAAGCGCCCCACCCATTTTTAACAAGGTTGTACTGGGACAAAAATCTTCTGAAGAGAAATAGATTTTTTTGTCACCAGTTAACCTATGCAAATAGTACAGGATTTGTTAACTGACTTAAATGCAATCAATTAAATAGCAATTGCATTATATTTAAATAGTTTACTTGATGCTGCCAAAGTCTAATTTCTTTAGTTCAGTGTCCATCAGGGTTTGGTATTTCCAAATCAAGTCTCTTACACTTTCTTTTTCTTTTTTTTTTTTTTGAGATGGCGTCTCGCTCTGTTGCCCAGGCTGGAGTGCAGTGGCGTGATCTCCGCTCACTGCAACCTCCGCCTCCTGGGTTCAAGCGATTCTCCTGCCTCAGCCTCCTGAGTAGCTGGAATTAAAAGCGTGCACCACCACGTGTGGCTAATTTTTGTATTTTTAGTAGAGACGGGTTTCACCATGTTGGTCAGGCTGGTCTTGATCTCGACCTCGTGATCCACCTGCCTAAGCCTCCCAAAGTGCTGGGATTACAAGTGTGAGCCACTGAGTCTGGCCACACTTTCATTTTTAATCTTATACACAAAACATTATTTTTTCTTCCTGAAGTACACTTTTAAAAAGCTCCTATTGGTAAACAAATCACTCAGGGTTTTAAAATATATTTTAATTTACCCTTTTTTGTTAAAGGTATTTTAGCCTAGTATCTACTTCTAGCTTTAATAAATAATTTCTCTTAGTGCCATTCCTATTTATGTTTTGAGATTTACAAAAGCTGTAGAAATTTTGCTCTCATCATTACACTGATTTTTAGTATTTTTCTTCTCTTTGGTGTTATCCAGCTTATTTAAGTAATTTTTTTTTCACTTTTTGACACACTGCATTTCTGAATTCAAGGATTTATGTCTGGTTTTCAGTGTAGAAACTTACAAACCACCAACTCTTAAAGGCATTATTCAAATTATTTTAATATATCCCATAAAAAAAGAGATTTGTCCTATTCCTTCTCATTCTAGCATTCTAGTCTTCATAGATATATGTATTTGTTTTACGTTTTCTTTTTTTGAGATGGAGTCTTGGAGTGTCACCTGGGCTGGAGTGCAATGGTGCAATCTTGGCTCACTGCAACCTCTGCCTCACAGGTTCAAGTGATTCTCCTGCCTCAGCCTCTGTAGTAGCTAGGATTGCAGGCGCCCAACACCACACCTGGCTAATTTTTCATATTTTTAGTAGAGACAGGGTTTCACTATGTTGGCCAGGCTGGTCTTGAACTCCTGACCTCATGATCCGCCTGCCTTGGCCTCCCAAAGTGCTGGGATTACAGGCATGAGCCACCATGCCTGTTTTCCTTCCTTCCTTCCTTCCTTCCTTCCTTCCTTCCTTCCTTCCTTCCTTCCTTCCTCCCTCCCTCCCTCCCTTCACAAATATTTTAGTCTTATTTGTAAATCATTTACACATATTCTCACGAAGAAAAATAAATTTCAGAAAGGAATCTTGGGACCATGGTAGTTAAAACATACATATATATATACGTCTGATCATTAGCCACTGAAGACAAGGCAAGAGGCTTAGCAGTCATTTCTGGGGGTTAGTGTATCTCCCCTTGCAGGGGACAATTGAGAGGAATCCAAGCTGCTCCCTCATCTTCCCTCAGTTTTCACCTTCTGAACACAATATGGGGGAAGGGGATTTTCCAATGCTTTCCCCTAGAAACATTTCAAGAGGTACAGCAAAGGCTTATGATAACACTGAACCTGCTCTTTGCTAGAAATTTGGCAAGATTGCAATCTCTGAATCAACCTAGTAGAAGAGTTAGCCCAATTCCTATTCACAGGTACTTCTAAGAGGAGGAGGGATTGCTGCATTCATCACACCCCCTTCCCACTTGCTCTGTTCTCCCACCAAGGCCCCAGAACGGAGCTCTTGATATCATCTGATCTAGTCCCTCCCCACTCCCACCCAGCCTCATTTCACAAGTGAACCTTCCTCCCACCCCACACCCAGACACTCTGTAACAGTTGGCCCTGGCAGCTCCTGAGGACTGCTGGGATGACGACACAGCATTTCTGCATCGTACTCACAGGGAATCGGAGCTCAGCCAGGAGAGGTCCAAGAATGACAGAACTATGAGCACCCCTACCAAAACTCAGCTCTGCAGAGCCAAATAAACAATTCCATCTGACAGGCCAACTCCTAACACCTGATCCCAGACAGTCATCATTAGAGGCCACAGCAGATGAAGCTCCTACTTACACTGAACTATTACCAATTCCCAGTAACAGTGGGGAAAGGAGAGACATGACAAATGCGGTAGACCCTATCAGAAATGGCAGCTGATGACAACAGTTAGCCTAGATCATTGGGTCCTACCCAAAAAGCATCCTCAAGAATGATGAGCAGAGAGCTCTGTAGCTGGATGTATAGCCCTTCAATTATGAGGGGACGCAGAGAAAACAAGCCGTGTTTTCCTATGATTATGTAGGAACTAGAACACAGACTACCCAGCCCTATGTGGAGGCAGCTTCTGAAAGGCCTTACCACTTATGGTCATCAGCCCACCCGCTTGGTAGGTGCATTTGGGGAGAGGGACTCACATCACATCCAGAGGGGGGAACTGTCTAGGCAGACACTCACAGGGCAGCCCATCCCACTGTCACTGGGGCAGGCCAAACATGGTTAGGAGGGTGGACAGATCCCAGGCATCAGCCACCCCACAGGCGTCGCTCTGGCCCTAACACAGAAGGCGAAATGCAGGGTGCTCCAAGTGTTCTCTGACATGGCACCTCCTTCACCCTGAGGGCCCTGGCTTTTCTTCCACATGTTCAGGGCCTCCAGAAAGTGCTCTGCAGCCTGCCAGTGAGCCCCAGGTTGATGCAGCTGATGCCCAGGTTACAGTGGGACTGGATACAGCCAGGCTGTATGCAGTTACTGCTTCTTCACTCTGGTTTCTATTCCACAGCAAATAGTCATTGGGACGAACACTGAGGGTACCTGTGAAGCAGTTCATGGCCTTGTCATGCTCTCCACTCAGGTTGAAAAGGACCTGCAAGCCACACTGCACATTGGGGTCAATGGATATAGGGTCCAGTTGCACAGCTGCTAGGAAGAGCTCCTTCATTTCAAGAAACAGGGAGTCAGACAACAGAGATCCCAAGATATGCTTGCTGGCGCCCAGTCCTGCCCCACCAGCCCCTTCTTCAGCAGGTGTCACCAGATAGGCACAGGCTGGCGTGTAGCAGGGTTTCACAGGCCTGCTGCTGCAGGGGCTCATTGGTAAAGCTTGCAGCCAGCGCCATCAGTGCTGTCAGTTATCTGGCTTTAGCTCCAGACACCTCTGCAATGCTCTGATGGCTCACAGTTCTTGTTCATTCTCTGCCTGGGTGGTACCCAGGTACTGCCAAGCTTCCATATTCTTAGGATTCTGCTGCATAGCTGCCTCAAAAAGCAGCATAGCATTTGGCAGGGACTATCGGGGGAACCTGTCCCTGATAATTCAACATGAGTCCTTTTCTATTTTCCCTAAGTGTCGGCCAGTCTGAGAAATAAAGTGAGAGTACAAAAGAGAGAAATTTTAAAGCTGGGTGTCCAGGGCAGGCATCACATGTTGGCAGGTTCCATGATGCCCCCCAAGTCACAAAACCAGCAAGTTTTTATTAGTGATTTTCAAAAGGGGAGGCAGGATACGAATAGGGTGTGAGTCACGGAGATCACATGCTTCAAGAGGTAATAAAATACTACAAGGCAAATGGAGGCAGGGTGAGATCACAGGACCAGGCGAAATTAAAATTGCTAATGAAGTTTCGGGCATGCATTATCATTGATAACATCTTATCAGGAGACAGGGTTTGAGAGCAGACAACCGGTCTGACCAAAATTTATTAGGTGAGAATTTCCTCATCCTAATAGGCCTGGGAGCACTACAGGAGACCCGGGCTTATTTCATCCCTTACCTGTAACCATAAAAGACAGACGTTCTCAGAGCGACAATTTTAGAGACCTCTCCCCTAGGAATGCATTCTCTTTCTCAGGGCTGTTCCTTGCTGAGAAAAAGAATTCAGCAGTATTTCTCCTATTTGCTTTTGAAAGAAGAGAAATATGGCTCTGTTCTGCCCGGCTCTCAGGCAGCCTGACCTAATGGTTATCTCCCTTGTTTCCTGAACATCGATTGCTGTTATCCTGTTCTTTTTTCAAGGTGCCCAGATTTCATATTGTCTAAATAATTTGTGCAGTTAATGCAATCATCACAGGGTCCTGAGGCGACATACATCCTCAGCTTATGAAGATGACGGGATTAAGAGATTGAAGTAAAGACAGGCATAGGAAATCACAAGAATATTGATTGGGGAAGTGATAAATATCCATGAAATCTTCACAACTTATGTTCAGAGATTACAGTAAAGACAGGCATAAGAAATTATAAAAGTATTAATTTGGGGAACTAATAAATGCTCATGAAATCCTCACAATTTATGTTCTTCTGCCGTGGCTTCAGCCGGTCCCTCCGTTTGGGGTCCCTGACTTCCCACAACAGGGCCCGCTCCTGAAGTCGCTGCAGCCCTTCTTTGAAAGGCTGAGGGTGATCACGCGGGGGGGTTCTCCTCCTCCAACTGGTACCCCTTATCAAAGGAAGCTGATGTGAAGTCATCATAGTCAGAAAGCCAGGGGTGAGCATCAGCATCTCGTTTTGCCATCTCCTCCAACTCCGCCTGCAACTCTATAGCTGACTTGGCGCGTTCAAACTCCCTATCAAGGGCAGTTGTGTTTACTGGTCTTGTGAATGGTCAATCCAGGCATCTGATGTACTCAGAATTAGCCAATTTGGGGTCATCCCCTTTGGCCACAAAGTCATTGGCCATGTGCTGCTGATCCTTCTCAGGATGACATTCATGGTCCAACGATCAGCAGCTGCTGCTCCCTTAGGCTCTCCCAACCACAGCTTCTCCCCTGATTGCTCCAAATATGCCTCAGTCCAACAGGTGGGGGAAACAGCCAAGGGGTCTGTAACTTCAGAAATGAATGATTGGGACCAGTCTGTCTCATCACAATCCTGAATTACATCCACAGCATCTCCAGCTGCAAGACACTCTGGGCCCAGTTCTCAGACAAGGCCAAGTCGGCCACACCAGGGCCTCTCTGGGGAGGCTGGAGGAAGTTTGACTGTTCAATCTGCTACATCTCAGCCAGTTCATCCATCGTGAATGTCTGAGGGGCATGGGATACAAGGGCTACATTGTGGTCCTGCAGGAATTCAACCACCAACTCATCTTCAGAAGCTACTCCCAAAGGCTTGGAGACTGCCTCAGAGGCTAGGGCTCCGGGCAGGGATGGGGGCAGGGGCCAGGCCTTAGACCTTCTGCTGAGGTCGGGGCTGTTTTCTGTTTTTACTGTATTTAACTACATTAATCATGCTCAGTATTTCGGTTCACTAATCTCATCAGCTGAGACTAATTTAATATTTAACCCATACGTTGTATATTAAGTAGGTTGTTTGTATTTGGCTCTTTTTCAAATATGGCTTGTCAAGCTTGTAGTCTTTTGCTCTGTAATACATATTTTTTTTCCTATTTTTCTCATTGTGTTGACTTAAACATTTAAAAAATAAGTCCTATAACTGTGTGTAACATAAGTTTTAACTTTCTTTTCACTTATGGGAGATATTACATTTCAGACATCTGCAGTTTATGTCTGTTTTTTAAATTTGCTTTATGGCAAGTTGGGCAACCCACATGGATTTGGCAACTCTGACCACCCATATCTAACAGGAGCGCTTACTTCTCAGTTGATTATTTTCCTAAATGATTTCTTTCGTTTGCTTCTCTAGTTGGAAAATTCTATTTTACTTTCACTTTCAATGCTATACAGTCGTTTAAAGATTCTTGTAACTTTCTGAGGATTTTAGCTTTCTACATTTAAAATGTGTAGAATCTATAGTATTTTTCCAACAAGCACAAATGTCAACAGTGTACACATGAAATATATTTTACACAATTTTTTTTGTAATAGACAATAAATCTCAAGTTACTTTATATAGAACATATCCTTTCCTCAACATACTGTAAAGTAATAATAATTTGTAGAGTTTAACTTTAATACTAGGGAACTGATTTTACATTTAGCACAAATTTCTGAAATAAATGTACTCTATGTCAGAGAACAGTACCTATATATGGCCAAAACTACTGATTTTCTACACCATTGAGATATTGGCAGAATTATTTACCTGAATTCAGATTTTTGGCTTCAATCACCATGCTTCCTCATGAGCACTTCCCTGAATCCATGAAAAGAATCTGTTTGAGTCTTCCATTTGAACTACAAATTTAAAAATTTCAATGCAATTTTCATGTGGTCAGATAGTACTTGCTGGTAACATTTTAGTCAGTAATTTCTATTGTTATTTACAATGTTCAGAAAATATGACCTGCTGGGTTTCTGGGACAATAAATTCAATGACATATTTTAGGCCTAAAACTTTACCACCTAAAATACTCATATCTAATATTTTAAAATAATGGGCATCCTTTGTTTACTGGCAAAAACAGCTGCCATTTCTTCCTATGCCTAATTAGTATAACTTACTAACAAAGTAAACATTCTTTATGTTCATTTAGTTGTGGGACACCAAAAAGTTAATTTCTATAATGACCTTAATGTTACCTAATATGAATGAAAATGTGACAGAGGCTAGGAGATGGAGTGAATAAAAAGAGGGGAAATGTTCTTCAACATGTACCAAGTTTCAATTAGGAGAAATAAGATTTAGTGATCAATTGCACAGAATGGTGACTGTAATAAATAATGTGTATTTCAAAACTGCTATAAAGACTATTTTCGATGTTTTCACCACAAAAATTATATGAAGCTATAAACATTAACTTGATTTAATCATTTTACAACATAAACATATATCAAAATATTACACTGTAGATATATACTACTATTTTTCAATTAAAAATACAATTTTTTTTAAATTCAATTTTTCTTTTTCAATGAATTTTTGATTTCTTCACTTTAAACTCTTAGGTATTAAGCATACAAATGTTTAATGGCTTAGAATAGTACCTAACACATTATATGAGCCATACGCTAACTACTACTCCAAATTATCTTTTTCATAGCATTCTTCAAATACAAGATTATTCTGTATATCTTATTAAAATTTATTTTTCTGTCTTATCTAAATATTGATAAAAATAGAAGGTAGGGCATTTGCCTGTTTCATACATTCCAAAATCAAAGGGCAGTTTCACTAATTATTTTTACATTCAGTAACTCATTTGTCTCACACAGTAAACACAAATATTATGTAACAGAACTATATTCATATTCTTCATCCTAAAAATGGAGAAAATTTTGAGTTATTTGTTGATTGTAGTACAGGACTCATTCTCTATTTTTTCAAATTATTCCATGTCAAGTGCTTAGAGTTGTTCATGACATACTATGAAATAAAAAAAAATTGATAGGGATGGATTACAAAAGCAAACTGAAAAACCATCCTATGAATTGTTTCATTATACATATATATATACACACACACACACACAAAATATACTTATATCCATATAACAAAAAATTAATTAAAATCTTTTTAGATAGACTAGCTGTTATAAACTGCTTAAGTTGTACATTTCATAAACATTTAATGAAAAACATCAATTTCTCACAAAAACTTCAAGCAGTAGAAGAGGTAACACTTCTTAATTCATCTATTACTAGTAATACCATAATACTCAAATGAGACAAAAGAATCACAAGATGACTATGAAACAACATCCTCTTTAAATATAGACACAGAAATTCCAAGAAATATTTTAAATATGAATATAAAAAGGTATAAGAGTGATTACATACCATGACTAAGCAGGGTATTTTCACAATGCAATGTTGGTTTAATATGATACAATATTACTTGAACAAAGTAAAAATGTAATAATTTAAATAGAAAAAGCTTGATAAATTCAACACCTGTGAATGACAGAACATCAAGAAAACTATTAGAAGAAAACTTTTGAGACCTGCTAAAAGGCCTCTATGAAAACCCAAAATCGGCCACGTGCAGTGGCTCACACCTGTAACCCAGAATTTTGGGAAGCTGAGGTGGAAAGACTGCATAAACTCAGGAGTTCAAGACCATTCTGGACAATATAGGGAGACCCCATCTTTACAAAATATTTAAAAAAAAAAAATTATCTGGACATGGTGGTGCATGCCTGTTGTCCCAACTACTCAGGCAGTTAAGGTGGGAAGATCACTTGAGCTTAAGAGGTTGAGGCTGCAGTGAGCCAAGATGGAAAACCCCACACCAAAAGCTAATATACTTAATGGTGAATGACTGGGGGCTTTATATGCAAGTTTGAAAACAGGACAAGAATTTCTACTTTCACCACTATTCACCATTGTACTGGAGATATGAGCCAGAAAATTATACTAGAAAAATCAACACAATTCTCCAGATTAGAAAAGAAGTGGAATAGTCTTTTATTGCCATAATGTTGTATTTTAAAAGTATAAGAAATTCATTAAAAACCTACTTGAGGCTGGGCACAGTGGCTCACGCCTGTAATCCCAGTACTTTGGGAGTCCGAGGCGGGCAGATCACAAGGTCAGGAGATGGAGACCATCCTGGCTAATATGGTGAAACGCCATCTCTACTAAAAATACAAAAAATTAGCCAGGCGTGGTGGCAGGCACCTGTAGTCCCAGCTACTCGGGAGGCTGAGGCAGGAGAATGGCGTGAACCCGGGAGGCAGAGCTTGCAGTGAGCCGAGATCCGGCCACTGCACTCCAGCCTGGGTGACAGAGCGGGACTCCATCTCAAAAACAAAAAAAAAGAAATTAAATAAATAGATAAATAAATAAATAAAAACCTACTTGAGCTAATAAAGTTCATCAATGCCACAAGATCAACATGCAAGGTTAGATAGTACTTTTATATCATAGCAATAAACAAAATAAGAATTAAATTAAAATTTCATTAATAGTATCCTAGAAAAAAAAAATTAGAAACAACAAAATAACTGCACATACTATACACTGAAAATTATTTAAAATGCTGAAAGAAATCAAAGAGCTGAATAAACTGAGATATACTCAATATTCAAAGATAACAATACTGAATTTGAAGATCAAAATACCCAACAAATTTATCTACAGATTCAATGCAAATTCCAATGTAGCTTTTCTTTAATAGAAATTGACAAAGTCTTCCTAAAATCCATATAAACATGTAAAGAAAATCAAACACACAAGAATTCTGAAAAACGATAACAAAATTCAGTAACTTACACTCCTGATATAAACTCTTACTACAATGTTACAGTAATTAAACAATATAGTACTGGCATAAGGATAGATTTATGTAGACCAAAAAAAAAAAAAGACAGAGAATTAAAGTTCCATTAATGAACAAATTAATCTGTGGTAAAATTATTTTTTTCTGTGAAAGGTGTTTTGACAGTCATTATATTTATAATTCTTTAGTTCAACATGAACTCTGATCCTGAGTAAGACATGAACAGGTATTAAAGGCTTTGCCACGTTTTTTACATTTGTAGGATTTTTCTCAGGTATGAATTTTCTCATGTTCATTAAGGTCTGAGCAGTGGTTAAAGGTTTTGCCACATTCTTCAGATTTGTTGCATTTCTCTCTTGCATGAATTCTCTTATGGTTTGAAAGGCTTGAACAAGATATAAAGACTTTACCACATTCTTCACATTTATAGGGCTTCTCTCCAGTATGAATTCTTTTATGTTCAGTAAGGTGTGAGCACCGGTTAAAAGCTTTGCCACATTCTTCACATTTGTAGGGTTTCTCTCCAGTATGAATTCTCTTATGTTTAGTGAGGTTTGAACACTGGTTAAAGGCTTTGCCACACTCATCACATTTGTAGGGTTTCTCTCCAGTATGAATTCTTTTATGTAGAGTTAGGTATGAGAACCAGTTAAAGGCTTTGCCACATTCTTCACATTTATGGGGTTTCTCTCCAGTGTGAATTTTCTTATGTTTGGCATGGTTTGAACTGTGGTTAAAAGCTTTGCCACATTCTTCACATTTATAGAGTTTCTCTCCAGTATGAATTATAATGTGATTAGAAAGGTTTGTGAAGGATTTAAAGACTTTGCCACATTCTTTACATTTGAAATGTTTCTCTTCATTATGAACTGTCTTATGTTCAATAAAGCATGAGCAGTGCTTGAAGGCTTCCCCACATTGTCTACACTTGTAGGATTTCTCTGCAGTGTGGATTCTCTGAAGTGGAGTTAGAATTGAGGATATGTAAAAGGAACTGTCACATTCTTTACAGTTGGAAGATATCTCTCCAGTATGTCTTATCTTATGTCTATTTAGATTTGATGGTTTACTAAAGACGTTCATGCATTTATTAAATTGAAAGATTTTGGTATGGGAAGTTGATAAAGATTGGTTAAGTCCATTATAACATTCTTTCTGCACCTTAGATTCACCCAGCCTTTCCCAATCTTTCTTTAAGTCTAAATTCTCAGTGCCACAGCTTCCATATCTTTCCAGTATCACTTTTTGAAATGAATCTTTTATACCATGCTCTGGCAAGAGGTCTTGGGTGAAATGAGAAGAAACAGCTGAAAAAAATTAAAATAACATATTATCCAACTTACTGGACTTAGGTGAATATAATCTATAAAAAGATAATGTATGAAATTATACTAAACACATTAGCGAGATAGCATAATAAAATACTACAGGCCCTGATTTTTTCATGAACATAATCTAACAAAAATATACTGAACAAAATGTCTTTGTGAGAACTCTAGAAACCATATTAAAAGCCACAGACAAGAAGGAAAGCTTGTTACATTTACCCACCACAACTCTTTCTTCCCCTCAATACAGCATAATGACTTCAGGAATAAACTCCCAACTCCTAGCTTCTCCTTCAGTAGAAACAGTAGTGGCACATATGCCCATACTTTTGATGGAATTTCCAAAGACTAGTTTCTGTCTCCCATGACCCAAAGTGCTGATAGGAATAGTGGTAGAATAGAACCAACCTTTGAATTACAGGTTGGTTCTGCTGAGACCAAAGGTAAATAATTGTTATAGCAGCAGAGAAGCTGCAGTACCACAGACAGACAACAGATTTAGCAAATAATTGATTAGAGAAGAAGAAAGAAAGAAAGAAGAAACAAGGGTAAACCTCTTTAACTGGAAATTAAACACAAAATTCCAGAGAACATACATCCTGAGAATACGTTTGAGAGGCTCATGGAAACCCTAACCTGAGTCACTTGGTGTCAGACTACCCAGGACAAGGCCATTTTATAAAGATTTTGAGAGGTGGATTTTAGTGCCCAAATCTCAACCAAAGATTGCTACATATACATTAGGATAGCATGGCTCAATCAAAAAATAAATAAATAAATAAATATCCAGAAATCAACCCTAAAGAAATGGAGATATATAAGTTACCTGAAAATTTTGAGATAACCATCTGAATAATGGCCAATGAGTAAAATGGGAAAACATATGAAATTAAGAAAATGAGAAAAGTATAAAAAGAAATAGAAATTGTTAGGTTGAAGAATAAAAGAAAAAACCCTGACAAATTCTCAAATGTAAAAAAATAAATTAAGAAGCTCAACACATTTCAAATAGGATAAACACAGACAGACCCATAACAAGATACATTATAAGCAGTTTCAAAAGATTACAGATGAGAAGAGAATCTCAAAAACAGAAAGGGAAAAGCAATGTGTCATCTATAAGCATGCTTCTGTGAGACTACCAGAGCATAGTTGTTTCATATATCATCATTCTAGTACTACAGAAATTTTTGTGTATGGGATCACAGGGCACACAGAGAAAATAGGAAATCTGTCCTACTTGAAGAAACAAATCTCTAGAAACTGACCCTTAAAAAAGGGAGATTTTTGCATGTTTTTGACAAAGAATTTACAGTAATCATCTTAAACATGTTCAATGACCAAAAAATAGAACACATATAGATAACTATACAAAATCAGGCTGGGCATGGTGACAAGAGCAATATGGTTTACATAAAGTAAAATACTCTGCTTATTCATTTAAAAATAAATCCTGGCTATGTACAGAGGCTCACACCTGGAATTCCAGCTTTTGGAAGGCTGAGGTGGGAGAACTGCTTGATACCAAGAGTTCAAGACCAGCTTGAGTAACACAGTGAGACTGTCTCTACAGTTTTTTTTTTTTAAATTAGCCAGGCATGGTGGTATACGCCTATAGTCCCAGCTACTTAGAAGGCTGAGGTGGAAGGATCACTTGAGCTCCGGAGTTTGAAGCTACCGTGACCTATGATCATACCGCTGCATACCACCAGCCTGGATGACAGAGTGAAACCCTGTTTAAAAAAAACAAAACAAAACAGAAAAACCATGCATGAGGAAAATAATACATCAACAAAGAGATTAAAAAAAAAAAAAAACTATAAAAAAGAACCCAACTAAGCTGGGTGTGGTGGCTCACGTCTGTAATCCCAGCATGTTGGGAGGCTGAGGCAGGTGAATCACAAGGTCAGGAGTTCAAGACCAGTCTGGCCAACATGGTGAAACCCCATCTCTACTAAAAATACAAAAAAATTAGCCGGGCATAATGGCAGGCGCCTGTAATCTCGGCTACTCGGGAGGCTGAAGCAGGAGAATTGCTTGAACCTGGGATGCAGAGGTTGCAGTGAGCAGAGATCACTCCATTGCACTCCAGCCTGGGCAACAGAGCAAGCCTTTGTCTCAAAAAAACAAAAACAAAAACAAAAACCTAACTAAAATTGTTGAGCTGGAAAATACACTCTGTTGAAAAATTTACTAAAGAGCTAAAACAGCAGACTTAATGAGGCAGAAAACACATCAGCAAATTGAAGACATGTTATTTATAAATATTGAGTTGTATGTAACATTTAAAAATGGAAAAAAATGAAGATGAAATATTGGACTTAATGGAAACCATTCAGTAGACCAATAAAAAGATACCAAGAAGATATAGGTGAAAAGTGGTAAGTTATTTTTTTAAAAAAGGGGGCGGTGCTGAGAACTTCTAAAATTTCAATGAGATAAAACCAAAAATATTACTAAGGATACTTGATCTAAAAGAAATTTACTTTCAAAAACAAGTGAAAAATAGGCTTCCAAGATAAACAAAAGCTGAGAATGTTTGCTGCTACTAGTACGGTCCTACAAGAAATGATAAAAGCAGTCCATTATGTTGAACAATAAAATGATGCTGGACAACATCATAAATTCATATGAAAATATAAAGCTGTTAAAGGTAAATATATACACAGATATAGAATTGCCGAATGTTACATAAAACCAAAAATTTTGTACAATGTGAAAAACAACATAAATCTCCATAAATCTATTAATAAATGCACAATATAAAGTGATATAATTTTTGACATTAATATCAAATGGGGGATATAAAGATAAATAATTCTCATACTCAATTGTAGGGAAGTTATGAGATAGATTATCAGAACTTTAAGAAGTTTTATGAACTGTCCATTTCTCAAGGTGATCACAAAGAAAGTACTTATAGAAGTAATGCAAAAGAAAATGAGAAAAGAATCAAAGCATGTCACTACACAGTCAACAAAACAAAAAGGAAGGCAGTGAGAGAGGTGAGAGAGGAAATGAGGGACAACGTATCTACAAGGAACAGAAAACAATTACAAACAAGATTGTAATAGTACTGTCATTTCCTTTAGGAATTATTTTAAATATAAATGGATTAAATTCCTTAATGAAAAGAAAATGGCTGAATGGATTAAGAACAAACAAGATTCTAAAATATGCTGTATACAACAGACTCAACTGTAGCTCTAAAGGAGTCAAATTGGCTGGAAGTAAAGAATGAAAAAAATATATTCCATGAAAATAGTAACTACAATTGGGTGGTGTGGCCACAATTATACAAGATACATTTTAAATTAAAAACTGTCACACAAGACAAAGATTGATATAATGGTAAAATAGGCCCATTTACCAAAAATCTTTAACAGTTTTATATACACACACTCCACACACACACATACATACATATATATATGTGTGTGTATATATGTGTGTGTGTGTATGTGTATATATGGAGCAATATTTGCTGCCACATATATGAAGTGAATATTGACAGAAATGACATAAGAAATACACAGCAACACAATTGTAGACTTCAAGATTCCATTTTCAATAATGAATAGAAAAATCACATAGAAGATCAATAAGAAAACAGAAAATTTAAGGATTATAGACTAATTAGACCTAACAGACATGTACAGAATTCTCCAGGAAAAAAGGCAGAAAACACAATATTATCAATTGTGTATTCATTCTGTTAGGACACATAACAACTTACCAAATTTAAGAAGACTGAAATCAAACAATGTATTTTTTCCTAACCAAATCCAAAATATGTAGAAATTAAACACACTGTTGAACATATTCTTGGTCAAGGGTCAGATGATTTTTTGTTAAGATATCAGTACTGGCCGGGCATGGTGGCTCACGCCTGTAATCCCAGCACTCTGGGAGGCCGAGGCGGGTGGATCACGAGGTCAGGTCAGGAGATGGAGACCATCCTGACTAAAACGATGAAACCCTGTCTCTACTAAAAACACAAAAAAATTAGCTGGGTGTGGTGGCGGGCACCTGTAGTCCCAGCTACTCAGGAGGCTGAGGCAGGAGAATGGCGTAAACCCGGGAGGCAGAGCTTGCAGTGAGTCGAGATCGTGCCACTGCACTCCAGCCTGGGTGACAGACTGAGACTCCGTCTCAAAAAAAAAAAAAAAAAAGATATCAGTACCAACAGTGATATACAAATTCAACGTAATCTCTATCAAAATCCCAATGGTACTTTTTTTGCAGAAATATTTTCCAAATCCTAAAATTTGCTTAGAAACTATGACTAGCTAAACACCATTTCAAAAAAAGAAAAGGATCGGAATGGTGACTTATGCTTGTAATTCTAGCACTTTGGGAGGTAAACATGAGAGGATCACTTGAGGCCAGGAGTTTGAAGTCAGATTGAACCCTGCCTCTATTATTAAAACAAAAACAACAACAACAACAACAACAAAAACTATAAAATAAAAAGAAGAGGAGGCTTTACACTTCCTGGTTTAAACATATTACACAAAGCTATAAAAAGATAAACATTGATAAATAATGAAATAGAAGAGAGAACCTAGATATAAACCCTTTGTATACAATTGAATGATCTTCCACAAGGTTGCTATGACCATACAATAGGGAAAGGAGACTCTTCAACAAATCATGTTGAAAACTGAGTATCTACATGAAAAAAATTAAGTTGGACCCTTCCTTTGCATTATATGCAAACAATATTTTAAAAGGATTCAACGCTTAAATGTGAAAATATAACAAAACTCTCAGGAGAAAATATAGAGGAGATCATGACATTGGTCTTTGCACTGTTTTCTTGGATATGATGTCAAATGCATAAGCAACAAAGAACAAAAAAAACTGAACTACACAAACTTCAGAATTTCTGAACATTAAAGGAAACAACTAGTGGAGTGAAAGTGCCACCTTAAAAATGGATGAAAATATTTACCTATTAGATATTTGATAGGAGTTAATGTACAGAATGTATCTCTCCTAAAACTCAGCCCCCAAAAAATAATAATTTGATTTAAAAATGGACAAAGGATTGAACTGACTTTTCTTTAAAAGATAATACTCAAATGGCCAACAGGCACTTGAAAGAATGCTGAAAATTACTAATTTGTAGAGAACTGCAAAGCAAAATCACAATGAGGTATCACCTCACATCCATCAAAATGGTCACTATTAAAAACGAACAGAGCCGGGCACAGTGGCTCATACCTGTAATCCCAGCATTTTGGGAGGCTGAGGCGGGTGAATCACATGAGGCCAGGAGTTCGAGACTAGTCTGGCCAACATTGTGAAACCCCATCTCTACCAAAAACACAAAAATTAACCGGGCATGGTGGTGCATGCCTGTAATCCCAGCTACTCAGGAGGCTGAGGCACAAGAATCACTTGAACCCAGGAAGCGGAGGTTGCAGTGAGCTGAGATTGCGCCACTGCATTCCTACCTGGGTGACAGAGTAAGACTCTGTCTGGAAAAAAAAAAAAAAAAAAAGACTAACAGAAACTAATCTGTCAAGGATGTGGCGAAATGGAAACCTGTGTGAACTGTTGATGAAAAAATATGACAACAGTCACTATTAAAAATATGACACAGCCACTATTAAAAACCAGTATAGAGATTCCTCAAAACACTAAAAATGGAATTATCATATAATCCAGCAATCCCATTTCTGAGTATATATTCAAAGTATGCAACTCAGAACCTAGAAGATATATTGCAGCATTATTCACAAAAGCCAAAATGTAGAATCAATCCTGATGTCCCCCAACTGATGAATAAAAATAAATGTGGCATATACATAAAATTGAGATTATTTAGCCTTAAAGAAGGAAATATTGTGTGATAAGGATAAAGCTTGAGAATATTATGTTAACTGAAATAAGCCAGTACAAGTACTGACAAAGGTGTGAAGAAAAATAAATTCCATATATTGTTGCTGTGCTGTAAACTGATAGAGTCATTAGCAAAACCAGTATGGAGGTTCTTAATTAAAAAATGAAAAAGTAAAACTACCATATAATTCATCCATCCCACTTCTGTGTAAATAACCAAAAGAAATAAAATAATTATCTCAAAAGAAAAAAAAAACTATACCCTCATGTTCACTGCAACATTTTTTCACAATTGCCAAGATATGAAAACAACCCAAATGTCTGCATACACTAAAAATAAAAGTACACACACACACACACACACACATTCTAGAATATTATTCAGTCATTACAAATAATAAAATCCTGCCATTTCAACAACATGGATGAACATGGAGGAAATTATGCTAAGTGAAATAAGCCAGGCACAGAAAGAAAAATACTGCATCATCTCTCTTATAAGGGGAATCAAAAAGGGTTGAACTCATAGAAGCACAGAGTACAAAGATGATTGCCAGAGGCTGGAGGCAGCGAAAATAGGGAGCTGTTGTTCAAAGAGTACAACTTTCCATTATAAGATAAATACATTTTGGGGATCTAGTGTATAGCATTGTGACTGTAGTTCATAATAGTGTTCTGTATGCTTAAAATTTGCTAAGATAGTTGCATCAAATCATCACATTGTACACAACACTTACACAATTTTTATTTGTGAAAAAATCCACATTACACACATGTACATATATACACAAATGTATACACACCAACATATATATGAATAACAGTTCCGATCATAGCAAACAAAATTATAAAATTATAGTTATTATAAACTAAGGTAGCAAGTGGAAGTTAAATATATGCTTAGCACTGCTCTAAGCTACCCAAATACATAGCATATTTAAGAAATCTAGGAAGTTGATATGGTTTGGCTGTGCTCCCACCCAAATCTCGACTTAAATTGTATCTCCCAGAAGTCCCACATGCTGTGGGAGGGACCCAGGGGGAGGTAATTGAATCATGGGGGCCGGTCTTTCCCGGGCTATTCTCATGATAGTAAGTCTCATGAGATCTGATGGCTTTCTCAGGAGTTTTGCTTCTTCCTCATTTTCTCTTGCTGCTGCCATGCATTTAGCCTCCCACCATGATTCTGAGGCCTCCCCAGCCATGTGGAAATAGTAAGTCCAGCTAAACCTCTTTTTCTTCCCAGTTTCAGGTATGTCTTTGTTACCAGTGTGAAAACCAACTAATACAGAAGAGAATAGATACACTAAACTATACTACAGTTGAGAATTTTGGGCAGAGTTTAAATTACCAATCTCAGTTTATACTAAAACAATAAATGTTTAATAAAAACTAACAGTTTCTTACATTTAGGGAGATGTCTAGTGTTCTTATAAAATTACTGAGTATAAATTTCTATAGAATGACATTTAAAACCTCTCTAGAATGGGAAATCACAAAGCAGAAAACATGTAACATCTGTTCCAGTGTCCCTGGGATTCGGAGCCAAATCCCACTCCTCTCACACACCTTAGACATAACGCAAAAAGGGAACTTAAAAAATAGTTTAACAAACAGCTTTTCAAAAATACAGATATTCCTGTGTCCTCAAAGTAATGGAAGAACCATCAGATCCTACGGTCTGTTCCAAGCTATGAAGACGACTTTGGTTCTCACTGTCATCGTGAAGAAAGATAACTGAAGGGAAAGCAGAGCCCTAAAAGAATTTCAGAGCACGGGACAGAGGTGTTGCTTTGTGAGAGCAAGGGAAAGAAACGCAGGCTTCTCAGAAACCATTGCCATTGGAGCAGAGCTTCCCAAACCACATTTTAAGGTCTGGCTTCCTCCTTGATCTTTGAACCTCTCATCTGTATCATCTACTCCATTTACTCCCACCTACCTGGGTGTCTGCCTATTGTCTCAAGTTTCTTCACATTCCACGGCTCATTCCTTTGCTCTAGACAGGTGATCAGGTCTGGCTTAGAGACAGCAATACCTGTTTTATTTAAAAAAATTTTTTTTAAAAGGACCTTTTTTATTTTTTAAAAAGTAGCATGACTCTTGCTTGGATTCTCTAATTACCAACCTAGTACTGTGCTCAGTAGAGAAATGAGGAAATAGCAGATTCTAGAAACTTAATCCCAAAATACTGTTTCCTCACAGAACCTTTAGAATATTTAGAAAGTATTTTAAATTTGTGAGTCCCTAGCTTCACTACCTATTGCTACTGAATCAAAAATTGGTGGTGGTAACTGGATTTTTTAGGGTGTAGCAACACTATTTTATGCCACGAAATTTCTGGAATTACCACCACTAGAGTATGCACATCACCTCAAGAAAGGAAAGATAATGTCAAGATAAAATACCTTCAAGATTATTTTCTTCTACACCAACAAATCCCCAAGTTTTCCTTGAAAGCAGAAATCTGAAACTCATTCATGCAAAGCAGAAATTCCCAAAAATATTCTACAACGAAGGAAATAAAATCTTTAGCGTAAAATAGAAATTGTGCATTGAAGTGATCCTCACCCAGAGAGACCAGGTTTCTGTAGTTTTCTAACATCACGTCCCTATACAGATTCTGCTGAGCCGGGTCCAGATAGCTCCACTCCTCCGCAGAGAATTCTATGGCCACATCCCTGAATATCAACAGTCCCTGGAAAGGAGAAAACACATACTTATCAAGTGGCCATGGGTAGAGTTCTTAATTTGATTCCAGGCACAAAGAGAGACAGAGAGAACTAGTTCTTACTTACACAAGAGACTGAAATGATCAAATAATTGTAAACACAGAAATATTCTCTAACGTATTCTCTTAATTCTGAAGAAAGAGGATGGCATAAGCTCCACATAACCAGTGTAGATATTCTACTCTCGTGAATAATACAGTATAAAATTAAGGGTATCAACACAGGCACATATATTTTTTTTCCTGCTATATTCACATCACACACGATAAGTTGTAAATATTTCTCATATGTAGATTCATCAGAAGGTACCCCTCAAATTTTAATGTGTACACAATAAACTAGAGATCTTCTTCTTAAAATGCAGGTTCTGATCCAGACCTAGGGTGAAGCCTGAGTTTCTGAATTTCTAAGTGGGCTATACAGTGATGCCACTGTGTCTGGGCCAAGGAAAAGATTCTTTCGAACATGCAGGAAGTGGCAGAGCCTGTGTTTATTTCAGTTTATCTAACCAATAAACACGAGAGCCTTCATTTTCCAAAGCAAGCTATAAGCAAGGAGAATCTAAAAAGAAAGAAGAGCTTCCCAATTAAATGTGATGGCTTATTTATATCAGTCAGTAAATCTCCCCAAGGTATTAAATAATAATGAGAAAAATAACTCTATAGTGCCAAAAATCTGACAGAGAGCACCTTAACAAGTAAACAAAATTAACATCAACTATAATAGGATAAATTGACATCAAGGATGTCAAGGATAAAATGACATCAAGGATCACATACAAGGATCACATGACATCAAGGACACAACATCACTGCTCTGATATTATTGGCCACAAAAATAGTAAATTACAATCTGAATCTAATCATGTAGAAACATCTGGTTTTTTGTTTCGTGTTTTTGAGACAGTCTTGCTCTGTTGCTCAGGCTGGAGTGCAATGGTGCAATCTTGGCTCGTTGCAACCTCTGCCTCCTGGGTTCGAGGGATTCTCCCACCTCAGCCTCCCAAGTAGCTGGGACTACAGGCGCACGTCACCACGCCCAGTTAATTTTTGTATTTTTAGTAGAGATGGGGTTTCACCATGGTAGCCAGGCTGGTCTTGAACTCCTGACCTCAAGTGATCTGCCCATCTTGGCCTCCCAAAGTGCTGGGATTACAGGTATGAGTCACAGTGTCTGGCCAGAAACATCAATAGGACCCGGTGTGTGATGATCCCCTTCCTGTGTCCAAGTGATCTCATTGTTCAATTCCCACCTATGAGTGAGAACACGCGGTGTTTGGTTTTCTGTTCTTGCGATAGTTTGCTGAGAATGATGGTTTCCAGTTGCATCAGAAACATCAGTTTTATGCAAAGTTCAAGCTATAGATATTTCCCTGCTTCTTCAATCTATAATAGTGTTTTTCAATAGTGTTTCTTTAGCATCCTAGACAGCAAGTGTCTTCTAATTATTCTCTTTTCAGAACTTTAAGTTATTCCAGGCAATGAATGCCATCCTCTTTAAATGTCTCTTTTCTTAATTCTGTTCTGCATAGAGATGATGGAGCATGTGGATGAAATCTAAACAGTACATGGTCCCCTTCTTCACTGACACCCCAAGACCCAGCCCCATTCCCAGGGGTAATCCTGGGGATCCACACTTTCCCATGTTGATATGTCACAGAACATTTCAATACTGCCCATCATACATTAATGGTAAGATTTGGTCATGACATATAAGAAGCCTGGATGGAGACAATGGAGAGAAGGTTCTGGTATACAGGAGGAAGGATTTTACAGAGGTCCTTGATAATCAATCATAAGAAAGAGCCGGGGGGGAAGTAGTTGGAAAGAAACACATTAGGCAGGTACATCAGAAGTACAGAAATAAAGGTTTGCAAGTTCTAAACACATAACGTCCCAGAAGAAAAGAGGACACATCCCCTGAACCCAGACACATTCACCTGAGAACCAGCCATTTCTTCCTCTTCTTCCTTCTTCTCTGGGATTCCTTCTCAGGTGAGATTATCTGGACAAATCACACCTGCATTTGAGAATATGCCTTTAAAGGTGTCAGCACAACCCTTTCAACTGCAACCAGCACACCTACAGGTAGAAGGCCCTGAAGTGCAGAAAAGGGAATACTCCCCTATTCTTTGTCACAGGAGAGAGGAAAAATGAGCTACCACATAAAGACCAAAAATTTCCTGCCTTCAGGTGATCTCCCCTGCCATGAACTCTAGCAATTTCTGGTACAGCAAAAGAAATATGGACCTTGGTGACCTACCCCTATCCAACCCAAGTAGAGCCCTCTGACCTCCTTTTGGAACTCAAGTCTCGTGACTGTATCTGGGAGCCCTCAAGCTTGACTCTCATCTCACCTTAGGATCGTTGGGGGGCACTTACTTAAAACAACAATTATGCTTCCATTCAGACCACAGACAGGATCTTTCGAGAGGGCACATGTGATGGTAGTTCTCCAAACTGGCTATTTGATTCTAATTGGAAGCCTGGGCTGAGAACCACATAGCTGAATATTGTCTCTCAGGCTTCAACGTACATATAAAGAATTTGGCATTCTAATTTGGTGTTCCAGGCCCCATTCTAAGTAATGTGTTACCGCAGGTGTGAAAGGGGTCTGCAAATTGGCTTCTATAACAAGTCTTCTGATACTGTTCCCCCGGACTCCTTATCAGCAGCACTCAGCGAGAGAAGGCAAACACAGCACAGAGTCCCTTGTACCCAACACTGGTATCACAACAGAAATGCTTTGGCCGGGTGCAGTGGCTTCCGCCTGTAATGCCAGTACTTTGGGAGGCCGAGGCAGGCGGATCACCTAAGGTCGGGAGTTCAAGACCAGCCTGCACTGGGAGAACAACATGGATACGGGCATTAATGCAATGTTCCATAATCCCCAGGATTTACATGAAGGGCCCAGCTGTTCTTTATCTGTTTCTCCATCACTGAGTTTTAGAAAGAAAATATATAGAATAAAAGCCAAATACAGACAGATGGGAGAGATACAGAAAGAAGGGGTTAAATGTAGTTGACAGGGATTTTTCGTTGTCGTGTTTGTATTTACTTTCTTGTAAGTAGGAACTACTGGATCTGCAGGAATGAAAAACAATTTGACCTGCAGGAAGGAACAGTTGCTGGGTGGCATGTCTCCAGCAGCACTGGTCTCAGCGAAAAACAAATGTCCCCAATCACACAGTTCTTTGTTCTCATTTATCTGCTTTTGGATTTGGGAAAATTGTGAGCACCTCCTCTCGAGAGATCACAGGAACCACCATGCAAAACTCTGATGTCCTCTAATGGATTCTGTGCGGGAGATTTCAGGGTCGGAGAAGGCCTGGGAAGCAGGTTGATCTGGCAGAGCAGGGCCAAGAAGCAGGCCCTCAGCTTCTCATCTTTATGCCTCTGGGTACTACCGGTTCTGTTTTTCCTAAGCCTGCCCAACAGACACTTGACTCCCAGAGTTTGTGTAATTTTAACCAATTTTAGCCACTTCCTCGTCTATTTTACAAGATACAGTAACGACCAATTTAACCAACACCCTTAAAGCTTTCTAGGACAAATATATTAGAAACTAAATATTTATTCTTGGCAAGGAAAATGCAACAGAAACAAAGATAATAACCACTATTTGTCCACGGATAGCCCTTCAGGTGGCAACACCAGAACTCACAAAAGAACAAGAAAAGAGAAGTGGCCCCAATGAAGCCCCAAACCTCTGTATACCTCCCTACCTCCCTTCTTTGTACTGACCACAGGATGCTGAATTCAACCGTTTATCCACTGGCTCTAGACTGAAAGTGCCTGGTTGGTAAGGACCCATGACTGTGTCATCTGTTTTTGTAACGGCCATATGAAATGGAAGCAACTGGTTTATCAGTTTGAGTCTCAAGATCTCCTCCTTGTTTTTTACCCAATACCAGGAAACTGGAGCCAGTCCCATCTGGATATCAATCAAAGAGATACCTTTTGTGAGGGGGGGAAGAAGAAACATGCATGACTCATTTCTCTTCCTCTGAGATGGAAGCAGCTTTGTTTATTTATTTATTTTTAATGGAAAAGAAAAACAGGAAAAAAGCCTACAGGATCCAGAATTCCCAGGCCTGACCTTGCTTAGCTTCCAAGATGAGATGAGACTGGGCATGTTCGGAGTGGTATGGCCATAGACTGGAAGCAGATTTAGACCTTTTTGTCAGCCTGACCTTAGTCTGCACTAATGTTTAAAGACTCCCCAGTACCTGTGACAGGGTCCTCAGTGACCCTGGGCTTATGTCCCCATGGTGATCTAGGCAAGAGAGATTCCGGCTGATTCTGTGGGGCAAAAATAGAAAACAGGCCGGCATGGTGGCTCACAACTGTAATCCCAGCACTTTGGGAGGCTGAGGTGGGCAGATCACCTGAGGTCAGGAGTTCAAGATCATCCTGGCCAACATGGTGAAACTGTCTCTACTAAAATACAAAAAAATTAGCTGGGTGTGGTGGGAGGCACCTGTAATCCCAGCTACTCAGGAGGCTGAGGCAGGAAAATTGCTTTAACTCAGGAGGTGGAGGTTGCAATGAGCTGAGATTACCCCACTGCACTCCAGCATGAGACTGGGTGACAGAATGAGACTCCATCTCAAAACAAAACAAAACAAAACAAAAAACACACAAAACTGCCATGGTGGAGTGGCAGATTATTAATCCAGAGGAGATATCACCTGTCCCTAATTAGCTAAATCTTGAGTAAGAGAAAGGACAACAGTGCTTCCGTATCACACTTTACAGGTGGGTGTGACTGTGACCATGGCTCTGCCTATTTTGTGGCCCTAACCTCGCCCTGCTGAGGTTCTTGTTTACATTTACAGATTCTGTCACTTGGGTCCTTTTTTTTTTTTTTTTTTTTTTAAATGGAGTTTTACTCTTGTTGCCCAGGCTGGAGTGCAATGGCGCGATCTTGGCTCACCGCAACCTCTGCCTCCTGGGTTCAAGCGATTCTCCTGCCTCAGCCTCCCGAGTAGCTGGGATTACAGGCATGCACTACCACCCTAGCTAATTTTGTATTTTTAGTAGAGATGGGGTTTCTCCATGTTGGTCAGGCTGGTCTTGAACTCCTGACCTCATGTGATCTGCCCACCTCGGGCACCAGGCTCTTTTTATACCAGGAGCTTCTCACACAACTGTAACAAGTCACTGGACTTGGAAAACTCAAAGGGTGCCACTCTGAAACTGGGGCTTTAAGATGTCTATGTCAGCACAGTGGCTCACGCCTGTAATCCCAGCACTTGGGAGGCCAAGGCAAGAAGACAGCATGAAGCCAGGAGTTCGAGACTATCCAGGGCAACAGAAGTGAGATCTCACCTCCACACAAAATAAAAAATAAAATTTGCCATGTGGTGTGGTGTGTCCCTTTAGTTCTCGCTGTTGAGGAAGGAGGATCACTTGAGCCCAGAAGTTTGAGGCTGCAGTAAGCTATGAATGTGCCACTGCACTCTAGCCTGAGTGAAAAGAATGAAACTATGTCTCAAAAAATAAAATAAAGTAAATAAAAGCTTTAAAAAAGGGGAGAAGAGCAAAATTTATTCTCCTGTTTTCTGGTGGGGGAATTAAGCCTCTTATTTCTAGCTGCTCTCAGTATAAAGAGCTCTTTCATGTTTGGGGTATACAGACACCTGCAGGGGGTGCTCCCCAGGAAGAACTAACTGGGCTTTCAATGACCTGCCACAGCCCAGGTTCCCCGGGAAGAAGTAACTGGGCTTTCAATGACCTGCCACAGCCCAGGTTCCCCGGGAAGAACTAACTGGGCTTTCAATGACCTGCCACAGCCCAGGTTCCCCGGGAAGAAGTAACTGGCCTTCAGTGACCATCCACAGCTAAGTGAAGGGCCATCGTCTTGGACTCATGGATATCTGAACTCCTGTAGGTCTAGATTCAGGCACTTGAGGGTTAGCCTTGGACAAACTGTGCATATCAAAGAGGGTTTGTAGGAAAGAAAAAAATAGAAAAGTGCTAGCAAGTACCCATGTTAAGTACTCAGCGCAGGGTTAGTGAAGAGGTGGTTTGTGCCTACAGGTACTGGCCCAAGTGGGGCTATGCTCCGGCTCACTCCTGTGTCCATGCAGGCAGATGAGATGACGGTCATATCATCCAAAAGCCTGGGTGGCTGGAGAGACCAGGTTGCTGGGGGCGGGGATAGGCCAGGAGTCTTCCAGGCACCTGTGTGGGTTTTCTATGGGAAACTCAAGAAGCAAAGGTGCTGTGACGGGATTCCTGAGGGTGAAGCCTTGTTCTGGGAGGGATATGGCCATGTCAGTGCCTAGTGGGTATGTTTACAAGGGGGTGAAAATCGTGTAGTGGCATCAGAGTAAAGAGGGGGGTCTGTCTTCAGAACTCTGCTTCTAAGTCCTCAGTCCTGTCTGATCCTGAGAGCAAAGCTGGAATCCCAGGAGAACGTGCAGTGTGCGTGCAGCATAACAGAGCTTCCTAATCCTGGGACACCCTGAGATGCCTCCAGCCCAGGCCGCTATGATGTCTTGTCTTTTTTTTTTTTTTTTTTTTTTTTTTTTTTTTTTTTTTTTGAGACGGAGTGTCACTCTGTTGCCCAGGCTGGAGTGCAGTGGCGCAATCTGGGCTCACTGCAAGCTCCGCCTCCCAGGTTCACCCATTCTCCAGCTTCAGCCTCCCAAGTAACTGGGACTACAGGCGTCCGCCACCACGCCCAGCTAATTTTTTGTATTTTTAGTAGACATGGGGTTTCACCATGTTAGCCAGGATGGTCTCAATCTCCTGACCTCGTGATCTGCCCGCCTCCGCCTCCCAAAGTGCTGGGATTACAGGCTGTGATGTCTTTTTTTCTGACACCAAATGTGTGGAGTTTGCTGAACACCAACCAATTCTCCAACACCAACAGGGTGTCCAAAAACTCAATTCTGACACCACCCAAAGTGAGCACAGGACCCACAGGTTCAGGACTCAGTCCCACAACACTGCCCCCACGGCAGGGGCCAGTCACACGTCCCCGGGGGCCCACCAATACTTTTGGGCTACTGCCTATATATCAGAAACTCCCATCACCCACTCCTCAAGTTCAATAATTTGATAGAGCTATTCGCAGAACTCAGCACAGCACTGTACTTATGTTTACCAGTTTACTGTAAAAGACACAACTCAGGAACAGTCAAATGGAAGAGCTGAATATGGCAATGGAAAGTCATGGGGGAAGATGGAGCGGGTAAATACAGCTGTGATTAATGAAATCCTTCAGCTCTGTGTTCTCCAAGAATAGCTTAATAAAAAGCAACACCCCTCTCATTGTAACTTCGATGAAGTTCCTTCTTATACCTATCACGAGGCCAGGCACAGACTCTCAAATTCCCATTTTTTCCCCCTATAAACAGTCAGCTGAACAATTTTGTCTTCAGTTGTTAGAACAAAATACTTATTAACCAAACCGCTTAAGATTCTCTCCTCCCAGGCCCCTGAATTTGTACCACCCACTGCTTGAGCTAACATACAGTTCCTATTTATGCCCCTCCTAAGGCTGATTTGGGAGTCGAACTTTCTCTGATCTAGGATCTGATTTGCCACCCTGTATCTTGTCCTCTCACTCTCACCTTTGTACTCTGGTTTGTTCCTCCAAATGAAAGCAAGCCCTTGCCTGCCTTACCCTTTGAGATCCTGGAAGATATCATACTTGGTGCTTTCCCTCTGTTGTAATACTCCTTAAGAATTAAGTAACTTCTTACCTAAATGTGAATTTGTTTTATTTGACAAAGTCTAGAAACAGTCCCAGAACAATAACAATTCCATCCTCAGAAAGAGCCTCCAGACTCCTTCCATTCCGACTCCAACAGCCTCCGCCTGTGGATCCCAGCTCTCCAGGGCTATACAGCTCCTGTCGGTATGAAGTGCTCCTTTCATGCTGGGGTGTGCAGGCTGGGACACCTGCAGGGGAGGCTCCCCAGGAAGAACTAACTGGGCCTTCAATGACCTCCTTTTGCAGGCTCAAGATTGGCCTTAGCTTAGAGTCACTAGGCTCCAACTTCTATTTCCCAGTCCGGGTTACTTAGTTGTAAATGAGAAAATGCCCAGTGTTTGAAGGATCCAGCAAAATCACTCAAACAGAATGTTTATTTAAGAGAATAAAATTAAAAGGCACTTACATTGTATACCTCAATAGAAAAAGCAAAACTATCAGTTTCAGACAATAAACATGTCACATTATTTCCATAATTCAAATTATTCAGTAAACAATCACATATGAGCATATCTAGGAGATGCCAAGTCCTATCTTCTAAAATTCAGTATTAAACTCAGACATCTAGATAACAGAGATATCAACTCCACAAGTCCTCCACCCTGCAAAAAAGAGGAACTCATATTTTGACGAATCAATGTAATTCACCAATTAATCTACTACTTTTTTGTGGAAATGTATTCATTTCCTATAGCCATACTGGAAGAGGATTTTCCCTATTACTTTCCCTGGTAGCATTCCCACAGCTAAGTCCTGGGATTCTGTTTAAAATCACCCCCTAAAAAAGAACAGGCCTGACAAACTCACTACACTCACTCTAGTGAAGAAAAAGGTAAATCAGAATTTTTAACAAGTGAATATTTGACTATATATTTAATGTCTTTTCTGAAATCCACCTCTTAAACATTTTCTTACCTTTGAAGCTCTACTGCTAAAATGCAATTGACAGTTAATAAAAAAAACTAAGCTTGAAATAAGTGAAAAAAATTTGTCAAGGTGTAAAACCCAGGAAGTGGCAATGCTGACAAATCTGACTCAAGCGCCAAGTCAGGCCATCCTATCACTTGGGACATTCCTCTGTTTCCATACTGCTCCCTGAACTGCTCACTGACCACCTTCCCCCCTTGCCCAGGAGCCACCACACTGTGCCCCAAGTGGTTTGACTCTGCAGATTCTTGCACCCCCTCACTGGAGTGGGTTTTCCTTGTCCATTGGAACAGTTTTTTCCCCTTCACAAGTCTGAGAGAACCCAGATGTCAGAAATCATTTCTGTCTTATCTTCTCAATATCAGCATCCAACTGGCTGACCAGCAATGTGTCTCCAAGGAACAGAAGCTGGAGTTGGGTGAAGACAATCTGCATATCCTAAGGGGTTAGCTTTGTAACTGATGGGTAGAACCAGCTTCCTCTCAGCCCCAGGGCATCCATCTGCTCCCTTAAGAGGCTCCACCTCCATCACTGAGGCTGTCCTCTGGGAGGAAAGGAACAAGGTGCTAATGGTCACTAAACATGCCTTGAGACAGTCCTGGGTCACCCGCAATTATGAAACCTAGGCACAGAAAAAGACAGGAGGGTGGCTCAGGACACATGACCTTGTACAATTTCCAAAGCAGAACCTCAAACCAAAGACATTCCGATAAGGTGTCTGTGCCTGGGGAA